GGTGGCCCCCCAAGCCTGTTAATCCCAGCACTTTGGGAGGCAAGACGGGCGGTCACGAGGGTCAGGAGATCGAGACATCCTGGCTAACACAGTGAAACCCGTTCTACTAAAAAACAAAAAAAACTGCCGGGCGAGGTGGCGGCGCTGTAGTCCAGCTACTCGGGAGGCTGAGGCAGGAGAATGGTCTAAACCGGGAGGCGGAGCTTGGCAGTGAGCTGAGATCGGCCCATGCCCCCAGCCTGGGCGACAAGCAAGACTCTGTCTCAAAAAAAAAAAAAAAAAAAAAGGGATAACAAGAGTGCTTCCCAGGTGGAGAGACAGTGAAGCATTGATGTACGTGATGCACCAAGCAAAAACTAAACAATGGCACAATCATTACCAAGGTTGGGGGGGGGCAGTGCCACACGCTGCTATGTGTACAGCACTCAGTTTTAAACAGGCCGGGCAAGTGGCTCATGCCTATATCCCAGCACTTTGGGAGGCCAGGAGACAGATCATCTGAGCCAGGAGCTCAAGAACAGTTGGGCCAACATGGTGAAACCCATCTCTACTAAAAAACAAAAAATTAGCTGGCAATGAGCCAATGCCACGATGACTTTTGTTGCTCCCAGAAACCAGGGGCTCCCTCTCTGGGATGGAATGCTCCCTCCAATGGACCAGACAACCCATTTACATCCCTGCTAGGGGTGCCGGCTGCTCCTCCAACAGGAGTCGCCAGGTGCAAATCAAAATATGGCCAGTGCTCAGAAAAAACAGATGGAAATGCCACGTGTATACGGAGGATCCAGCCCATGGCACCTCCAAGTGACTGGAGTTTCTCCTTTTATGGAAGGGGATGTCAAAGGCCAGAGATGTTAAATCATTTGCCCACAGACATTACTTAATAGCTATATAATATTCCACTGTATGAAAATACCATCATTTAATTTAGTATCATGACAGGAAGATTTACTCTGCCAAAAGGAAAGGATTAAGCCGAAAGCTGAGTCATGCAAGAAGCTGCCTTTTAATTTTGATCCCAAGCAGACAGCGACAGATGAAAGGTAGAACATGACCACTCTGTGATCACCTGACCTGTGTCAAGTCCAGATTTACCAAGCGCCAGACGAATACATTCCCCTACCTGCCCACTATTTCCACTTTAGCAAATGCTAGGTTTCGGGGCTTATTTTGGGGCTTAACTCTCCCTCTGTAGAGTGATGAGATCTCATTTTGCACCCATCCCCCAGACTCTCCCTCTCCCGTGTCAGCTGGGAATCTACGCCTGCTGGAGGGGGATTTGCGAGCTTCGCCTGCATGCGTGGTGAAACACCCCACGCCACCCGGTCCCCGGAGACCGGGGGTGGGGGCTGTGCTTCTCCTATGCCGGGTTTCGGGCCTTCCCTCCCCACTAGGTGAACAGTCTTGGGCAGGTGTAGGAAACCCCAAAGTGCTCACGAGAAAACCCTAGGCGTTCGGTACTTACCTTGTAGTGCGCCAGCTGGAGGGCCAGCTGCACAAAGGCGTCTGGGCTCGTGCGACATTTCTTGATGATTCCTTTACCAAAGGCAACGAATGGGAAGGAATGGAAATCCACGTCGTTTGCCAGAAGATTTGCGGTGTTCAGGGAGGTCTCTATAACCTCTTGACACTAGAGAGAAAGAAGAAAAAGGTTTTACGGAACGAGGGGATAAAAGTACTGACGCACACCCAGAAGGAAATCGGAGGCTGGCTTTCAGTGCAGCTACAAACTTGGTACTGGGAAGTACACAAACGTTTTCCTGACACAGAAGCACTAGTAAGTTAGGGGTATGGCTCCCTGACCCCGGAGGAGAAGCCGGAATGTTAGAGCAGGTAGTTGGTCTGACATGAGCAGGCCAGGAGAGGGCTTCCTTCGACACACACTGAGAATGTCAGACGACCATCATTGATGGTCAGGTGGTTGTGAACTGCCTCTCTAAAATAATAATTGATCACAGCCGGTGCCAGGGAAAGGCAGCCTCCCAGTACATAGAAACGGAGCTGGTGACCAGCGGCTTCCGGGTAAGATCTCTGGCGCCCGGCGAACGGGCTCAAGCATGTGCACTGAGAGGCAAAATGGCGGCGTCTAACTGGAGTATGATCTTCCTCTAGGAATGCTAGACAGGCAAGGGAAGAACACCTCAAGTGAGCATGCGCACAATTCCAGTAAACACACTGCGCATGCTCCCTTCCCAAGCGCTGGCAGCCACTGTGCAAGCGGATAGCCCACCCCAAGGGAGGAATCAGGAGAAGTAACGCAAGACCCTGGAAGCATGCCAATGTGTAAAACCTCAAGTCAAGAGGTCAAACCTCGCACTTGATCTCCCAAGTTGGCCGCTTGGCCCTCTTCCAAATGTACTTTCCTAAGGTTTTTAATAAACTTTCTCTCCCGCTCTTGGTCTCTCCTGCCTTCTGCCCCACAGTCAAATTCGTTCTGAGAAGGCAAGAATTGAGGTTGCTGCAGACCAGTACAGTGAGACTCCACAGAGTGTTTTGAATAGTCATGCGTCATTTTATGAAGCCCACGGTCATCAGACAGAGGCGAAGAAACACATTTACTTTTTATTATTTATTTTTTATTTGAGACAGGGTCTCGCTCTGTCACCCAGGCTGGAGTGCAGTGGTGCCATCTCTGCTCACTGCAACCTCTGCCTCCCTGGTTCAAGCCATTCTCCCGTCTCAAACTCCCGAGTAGCTGGGACCACCGGCCCCTACCACTATGCCCGGCTAATTTTTGTATTTTTAGTAAACACGGGGTTTCACCATGATGGCCAGGCTTGTTTTGAATGCCTGACCTCAGGTGATCCACCCACCTCCGCCTCTCAAAGTGCTGAGATTACAGGCATGAGTCACTGTGCCCGACTGATAAAACACATTCTTAAAAATAAATCTTAGAAAATAAATGGACAACCATACAATGAAATATTAAGCACTAGAAATAAATGAACCATAAAAATTTAAACTCTTATTACTAAGTGAAAGAAGCCAATCTGAAAACGCTACACACGGATGATTCCAATTACAGCGGCAGCCTTTAACCATGTGGATCCATTCTAAGACTCCCCACAGATGTCTGACACTTCAGATAGTGCCACAGTGCCAAACATTATACCTACGGTGTTTTCTCAAGCTCATAACCAAGACAGCCACTAAGTGGGTAGCACCTATAGCACAGACACACTTGACAAAGGGACAAAAGGATGATTCCATCCTGCATGGGACTGCACAGGACAGGAGCTTTCTCACACTACTGTCTCCGGAATTGGTGGGTTCTTGGTCTCACTGACTTCAAGAACGAATCCGCGGATCCTCGCAGTGTTACAGTTCTTAAAAATGGTGTGTCCGGAGTTTGCGCCTTCTTCCCAGTGACGCTGGCTTCACGAATGAAACTACAGATCTTCACAGTGAGTGTAACACCTCATAAACGCAACGTGGACCCAAAGAGCAAGCAGCAACAAGATTTATTACAAATGGCGAAAAACAACGCTTCCGCAATCCGGAAAAGAATCCTGGCAACTTCCCACTACCAGCTCCCGCAGCCTGCTTTTATTCCCTTATCTGACCCCACCCACATCCTGCTGATTGGTCCATTTTACAGAGAGCTGATTGGTCTATTTTACAGAGAGCTGATTGGTCCGTTTTGACAGCGCACTCATTGGTGTGTTTACAATCTTTGAGCTAGACACAGCGCTAGACGGAAAAGTTCTCCAAGACCCCATTAGAGTACCAATTCACGTGTATGTACAAACCTTGAGCTAGACACAGAGTACTGATTGGTGTATTTACAAACCCTGAGCTAGACACAGAGTGCTGATTGGTGTATTTACGATCCTCCAGCTAGACATAAAAGTTCTCCAAGTCCTCACCAGATTAGCTAGATACAGAGTGCTGATTGGTGCATATACAATCCTCTGGCTAGGTATAAAAGTCCTTCAAGGCCGGGCGCGGTGGCTCAAGCCTGTAATCCCAGCACTTTGGGAGGCCGAGATGGGCGGATCACGAGGTCAGGAGATCGAGACCATCCTGGCTAACACGGTGAAACCCCGTCTCTACTAAGAAATACAAAAAATAGCCGGGCGAGGTGGCGGGCGCCTGTAGTCCCAGCTACTCGGGAGGCTGAGGCCGGAGAATGGCGTGAACCTGGGAGGCGGAGCTTGCAGTGAGCTGAGATCCGGCCACTGCACTCCAGCCTGGGCTACAGAGCGAGACTCCGTCTCAAGAAAAAAAAAAAAAAAAAAAAAAAAAAAAGTCCTTCAAGTCCGCATCCGGCTCTGGAGGCCAGCTGGCTTCACGTGGTGGATCCTGCACAGGGGCTGCAGGCGGAGCTCCCCGCCAGTCCTAATTCGCACCTGCACTCCTCAGCCCTTGGGCTATTGATAGGACTGGGCACCACGGAGCAGCGGGCGGCGCCGCAGGGGGGCGCGGGGGAGCTCAGACATGGCAGGCTGCAGGTCCGGAGCTCTGCCCGGCGGGGAGGCGGCTAAGGCCCAGCCAGAATTTGAGCGCAGCGCCGCCAGGCCGGTATGCTGGGAGACCCAGTGCAACCTCCACAGCTGCTGGCCCTGGTGCTAAGCCCTTTACTGCCCTGGGCCGGCAGAGCCGGCCGTCTCCAAGTGCGGGGCCCACTGAGCCCGCGCCCGCCGGCACTCACACTGGCCCGCGAGCGCCGCACACAGCCCCGGTTCCCGGCCGCGCCTCTCGCTCCACACCTCCCCGCAGGCAGAGGGAGGCAGCTCCAGCCTCGGCCAGCCCAGAGAGGGACTCCCACAGTGCCGTGGCGGGCTGAAGGGCTCCTCAAGCGCAGTCAGAGTGAACACCGAAGCTAAGGAGGCTGAGAGCGAGGGCTGCTAGCACGTTGCCACCTCTCACTACTCAGAATAGCATGCAACTTGAAACTGATGAGTTGTTTACTTCTGGAATTTTCTGTTTAATATTTTCGGAACTTGGATTTGAAATCTCAGAAGGTGAAACTTCAGCTAATAGGGGGAGCTACTGTATGTGACATTCTGGAAAAGGTAAAACTATGGGGACAGTGAATATGATTCATGGTTGCCAGGGGCTAGTAGGAAGGAAGAATACATAGGCGAAGCACCAAAGATGTTTAGGGCAGTGAAACAATTCTGTATGACACTGTAATGGCAGACACAGGGCATTGTCCATGTGTCAAAACCCAGACAACGTACAACACCAACAGTAAATCCACCATGGACCTTGGTTGGTGCAGGTGTGTCAGTTGTAACAAATGCATCACTCTGTTGGGGATGTGGATAGTTGGGGATGCTGTGTAAGTGTGGGGAGAGGGCTGTATGGGAACTCAGTTTTGCTGTGAACCCAAACTGTTCTAAAAATTAGTCTGTTAAAAGAAATTTTTAAAAACGTGGTAAGTGACTTGGTGAGATACCAGGACTCTAAGCCCAAGTGCTCCGCAGAGGTTACAGCTCTCTTTTGAACCCACACCAGCCCTGCGGCCACAGGGCAAGCAGAAGCAATGGGGTAAGACCACAGCACTAGATACAGTACTTCACTATGTGGAAAATTATTTCTAACCCAGGTGCGGTGGCTCAGGCCTGTAATCCCAACACTTTGGGAGGCCAGATGGGTAGCTTACTTGAGCTCAGGAGTCTGAGACCAGCCTGGGCAACATGGCGAAACCCTGTCTCTACCAAAAATATAAAAATTAGCTGGGCGTTGTGGCATGCACCTGTGGTCCCAGGTACTCGGGAGGTTGAGGTGGGAAGATTGCTGGACCCGGGGAACTTGAGGCTGCAGTGAGCTGTGACTACACCACTGCACTCCAGCCTGAATAACAGACCTTGACTCTGTCTCAAATAAATAAATTAATTAATTTAAAAAGAAAATGGTGGGCTGGGTGCAGTGGCTCACGCCTGTAATCCCAGCACTTTGGGAGGCTGAGGCAGGAGGATCAGGTAAGGAGTTCAAGACCAGCCTGGCCAACATGATGAAACCCCGTCTCCATTAAAAATACAAAAATTAGCTGGGCTTGGTGGCGGGTGCCTGTAATCGTAGCTACTTGGGAGGCTGAGGCAGAAGAATCGTTTGAACCTGGGAGGCGGAGGTTGCAGTGAGCTGAGATTGCGCCACTGCACTCCAGCCTGGGTGACAGTGCGAGACTGTATCTCAAAGAAGAAAAAAAAAATAGAAAATGATATCTTGGACTCCAGGGAATTTTTCTTTGGAGTAAGTGAACTAGGATTTGGTATTTGCAACCCTAAAATTCCTTCCCAAAAGGGCTCCCGTGAGTGGGCTGCCTCTGATTATGTTTAAGAGGTGCCAAAATGAATTAAACATTGAGAATTATAAATTAGCAATTTAGAGGCTTTCAGCTCTAACCTATATGATTTTGGCTTTTAGTTTTTGATTATGAGCATTCTGTAGATGTCTAGTTAAGTTTGACCTGGAAGTCACACTGACAATCTTAGCCAGAAGGTTCAAACAGAAGAAGAAATATTTACCGAGGCTTCCGAGCAACAGGAGCTGTGACAGCCCGGCAGACCTCACGAAACTCCCTGAGCAAACAACTTTCAGCCTCAGTGGTCTTCAACTGAGCTCATGATCAGGCAGGAACTACAGTTGGAAAATTCATCTGTAAGACTTCAAATGTGTTTCCCATCCCAGGTAAGTAACAATGGTTGGATGATGCAGACTTACTTCCCCGGGGATGTCCCACTGCAGCCTGGTGGGGTACGGAATGTTCGGATTGGTGTCGCCTTTGCAGTGCCCATCCTCTGCATAGCCCAACTGGAGGCTGTCAGTGGACATGACGTACTGTCAAAAATAGAACAAAATTATTAAAACTAACAGTGGTACATAAAACGTATTAATCTGTAGCATGAACAGAGATGTTACAAAGTTTGAACCACGGCTGTTAACACTTCCAGTATTCTCAGCACCTAATGAGGTGGATCTGATCTCCATGTCAGATGTAACAAAGAGGACAGATGGGGTCTAATGGCTTGCTTAAGTTCGTGACACTCTCCTTTCACTGGCAAGTAAACTTAAGCCAATTTATTCAACACTATTTACAGGGCACCTACTCTGGGTTGGAACCACTGTAGCACCAGTGGCATCCAAGCACTGGTGACAGTGCAGACAAGAACTGTGTTTTGTGAACAAAACAGACAGGAATTCTTGTCCTTTCTTAAAAAGTGAAATATACCTGTATGACCCAGCAATTCCACTCCTAGGTATATACTCAGTGAAATGAAATGAAAATAGATGTTCACACAAAAATTTGTACAGAATGTTCATAGCAGCATTATTCATAATAGCCGAAGAGTGGCAAGAACACAAATGCCCATCAGCTGATGAAGAGATAAACTAAGTGTGGTAAATCCATACAATGGGATATTATCCAGCCCTAGAAAGGAATGAAGCTCAGGTACGTGTTACAATGTGATGAACCTTGAAAACATTATGCTGGGTGAAAAGAAGCAGGCAGGCGCGGTGCCTCACTTATGTAATCCCAGCACTTTCGGAGGCCAAGGTGGGAGGATTGCTGGAGGCCAGGGGTTCTAGACCAGCTGGGAAACATAGTGAGATCTTATCTCTACAAAAAATTTAAAAAATTAGCCAGGTGTGGTGGCACATGGCTGTAGCCCCAGTTACTGAGGAGGCTGAGGTGGGAAGATCACTTGAGCCCAGGAGGTCATGGTTTCAGTGAACCATGACTGTGCCACTGCACTCCAGCCTGGGCGACAGAGCAAGACCCTGTCTCTAAAAAAGAAAGAAAGCAAAAGAAAAGAAAAAAGAAGCCAGACATAGAAGAGCACATATTGTATGGACGTCGATATAAGATGTCCAACATAGACACATACATACAGACAGAAAGCAGATTAGTGGTTATCGGGAACCTGCGGGAGAAAGGAGCGAGGAGTTTCTTTTGGAGGTGATGCAAATATTACAAAATTAGGCTGGGCTCCATGGCTCACGACTGTAATCCCAGCGCTTTGGGAGGCCAACGCGGGCAGATCACTTTAGGTCAGGAGTTCAAGACCAACCTGGCCAAAAAGGGGAAACCCCGCCTCTACCAAAAATACAAAAATTAGGTGGGTATGGTGATGCACGCCTGTCATCCCAGCTACTCAGGAGGCTAAGTAGTGATTGTTGCACAAGCACTTTGTGAATACGCTAAAAACCACTGAATTGTACACTTTTAAAGGGTAGATTTTAAGGTATGTGACTCATACCTCAACTAAAAAAATTAGGTTTTTTAAAAAGAGGAATCCCTGTGCTCAGGAAGCTTACATTCTAGTGAGGGAGGTAAAAACACCACCACAAGGTCGGGGTAACTGTTGGCTGGCGAGGGGGCAGGGCGCGTGGAAGATCAAGCGAAGGAACAGACTTGATCAAGTTCCACCTGCTCTGGGTCAGAGCTCCAGGAGAGCCTGACACAGAAACATCAGAAATAAATCAAGAGCAAGACCGAGTGCGGTGGCTCATGTTTGTAATCCCAGCACTTTGGAAGGCCAAGGCAGGCAGATTGTTTGAAGCCAGGAGTTCAAGATCAGCCTGGGCAACGTGGCAAAACTCCGTCTCTACAAAAAATACAAAAATTAGCTGGGCGTGGTGGTGCACACCTGTGGTCCCAGCTACTCGGAAGGCTGAGTTGGGAAAATCACTTGAACCCAGGAGTTGGAGGTTGCAGTGAGCTGAGATTGTGCCACTGCTCTCCAGCCTGGGCAGCAAAGCAAGACCCTGTCTCAAAAAATAAAAAACAAAAACAGAACAAGAACAGACAGACTCAAGTTTGACTAGATCTGTCTTTAAAGGACTGCACTGGGCCTACACACAAGACTAGGTCAGTCCCCATCTGTGTCTGGATCACATGAGCCCCCAGCCAGGGGCCCCTGGAGTCAGGCCATCCTGTCTGCTGGACGCTAACAGCTAAACACCACTACTTCTATGTGGCCACCCTGGTCTAAGACAAAATCCCTTTATCCTTATCTGGAGAACTTTAAAAAACAAGCCTGATCTTGTAAATATCCAGTAGATTTCTCTACTTGATAAATGTACCCTGTGTGATCCAGCTGCCTATGGTCCCGACTCCAGCCTGGGTGACAGAGCAAGACTCCATCTCAAAAACAAAAAAAAGTCAAGATTCAAAACATCCACAGAAGTTTAAAGAAATAAGAAGGTCATACATTATGATGTCTTCACAAGTTTACTACTAATTTTTTTTTTTTTTTTTTTGAGACGGAGTCTCGCTCTTTCGCCCAGGCTGGAGCGCAGTGGTGCAATCTCGGCTCGCTGCAACCTCTGTCTCCCGGGTTCACACCATTCTCCTGCCTCAGCCTCCTGAGTAGCTGGGACTACAGGCGCCCGCCACCACGCCCCGTAATTTTTGTATTTTTAGTAGAGATGGGGTTTCACCGTGTTAGCCAGGATGGTCTCATTCTCCTGACCTCGTGATCCACCCGCCTCGACCTCCCAAAGTGCTGGGATTACAGGCGTGAGCCACCGCGCCTGGCCAGGTTTGGATTTTCAAAAGCAACTTCTACATTCAAGTGAAAAGTGCGAAAACTCACCTCCCAAAGGTGGGCCATGATCGGCGCGTCTGCCCAGGAGTGCTCCGCGTTGATGCCTATCTTCCCGTTTTTGAAGACAACAAACGTGAACGACTTGTCAAACCACCTATGTGAAACACACGTATGTGGAACTTAAGTGTTCAACGAGGCAAAAATGAGGAGACACTGCACCTCTCTGCTTCATCCTGGATGGACTGATTTACTTTGCATTTGCCCCTCTAACAGGGAGCGGCTGCTCGGTCTCTGGAGTGAGGATGAAAGTACAGATGGGACACTGAATCCCTCATTTCTTCCCTGTCCCAGACACAAAGATGAGCGCTTATATCCTGGGAGCCTGAAGTCAGGACCTGTTATTATCACAAGGCAACTGGGAGAGGTGGGAGGCTCTTCCCGTGGGCACGAGACCCCTTCATTAGCCAATCCTTGGCCCCACCCTGCAGGGGGCTGGTCAACACTTTACAGATAAGGAAAAGAGGACTTGAGATAGCCACGTGCCAACACCCTGGCCTAACCCTGTGCCCAGCCCTGTTTGCCACTATCCCCTGCCTGAGTCCAGGGACCTGGCAGCCCTGCATCTCATGAGCATCTCCAAACAAAGGTAGTCATGCACAGAGAAGGGAATCTCAGATTTGCAGCTTAAGCTGTGTGTGTGTGACAGTTTTGGCGGAGGGAAGAAAACTGAAGGTTGGCCAGGCGCAGTGGCTCATGTCTGTAATCCCAGCACTTTAGAGAGGCTGAGGTGGGTGGATCACTTGAGATCAGGAGTTCATAACCAGCCTGGCCAACATGGTGAAATCCTGTCTCTACTAAAAATACAAAAATTAGCTGGGTGTGGCAGCACACGCCTGTAATCCCAGCTACTTGGGAGGCTGAAGGAGGAGAATCGCTTGAACCCGGGAGGTGGAGGTTGCAGTGAGCTGAGATCAAGCCACTGCACTCCAGCCTGGGTGACAGAGCAAGACTCCATTTCAAAAATAAATAAATAAAACTGAAGGTTATATTTTTATGCCATCTTCTTCCTTAGCATTATAGATACTTAGGGGTGAGTGTCAGGCACATAGGGTATTTCTTCCAAGCTCATGGGCAAACTCCCATCTCAGAAAGTAAGGACGGTACCTGTCATAACATTGGCCATGTAGTAGAGACTTGGCGTAGCTGTCCATCGATGTATCTGGGTCTTCCGTTCTGTATCCTTGTTCAGTTTCATCTAACGTCACGAAGAACGCTGCCTTCTCCACGGCATCAAGAGACTGTTTATTTTTCCCCCGTCCAAAATAGGCCTGGCGACACCTGGCCCAGGGAACTCTGCAGTGAAGATGAAATATGATTAAAGGCAGCCGGACCTGCAGCCATGGAGTGATGTCTACTGGCACGTGATGTTTGAAATGACACAATCAAACCTTTGCAGTGTTTCAGAATTTCTCGAAGGAAAACTCCATTTTGACGATGTTCCCCATCTGAGACTGTTGGAAAGATTCTCACCTTCTCCTGGTCTCCAGACCACAGCACGGGGAGCAGTGGGTAATTTTTGTTCAATAAATGCTGGCTAAATGAACGGCCAGATTGCAGGCTGGCCCTGTGGGCAAAGCCGCCAGGAAGCAGCAGACCCAGATCACCATGCCCCATGCTCCCTGACATGCCCATGCTCCCCGACACGCCCTCCCTCCCCTCCACAGGAACCACCCTAGGTAAGTTCCGGCAGCCCAGGTCACGGTAAATGCGTAAGAGTGTGTCCCTCATGCCAGGCTCTGCTCCAAACCTTTTCTGTGTACCAACTCACTGATCTTCTCAATGCTACTGTACCCATTTTTCAGATGAGAAAACTGAAGCATGGAAAGATTAGGTCACAGCTATTTTGAGGCAGAGTTGGAACCCAGGTCATCAGCCCCCAAGTACATGCCACAGATGCCCATGTGATCCCTCCACAAGGTCTCCGTGCCCGTCTTATTTGGAATACACAGAACTGATGTGATGCCCACTTCCTTCTTGGAAGACCCCACCAGCTGGGCTTCCTCGAGTGCTCCTGGGTCCCTCTCACTCCAGCTCCTCCAGGGCCCTCTGCCACTGCCCACCCTTCCAGATCGGGGCCATCTGGCTCTCTCCCCACCGTCTTCTCTCTATGAGTGCTTGGATACGGCGGCCCACAGGGCCAATAAGCCTAGAAACATGTCAGGCCCGAGTGCACACTCCGCCGGGGGGACAAAGGTGACGGTGACGGTGATGGTGGCCGGCATGTATGGAGCCCTTCTTGTGAAGGACTCCCGTGGGTAAGATGCTGGTCTGGCCCTATCCAGAGGGGGCATCGGGATTGAGACACCTGCAGACCCACAGAGGCCCAGGCCCCACAGCGCCTGCTCAGGCTCCCCACGTCTCCTCCACTGGGGATTCCAGGCTCGGAGGAGCCCACCGGGCGAGCGCATCTTCACCTGAGACGCATCTCCTGCTGCTGCTCTTTCCAGCCTGTCAGCACCACAGTGGACAAGGAACAACGCCAGCTTCCCTGCACACATCCTCCCCCATCCCTCTCCTGCACTCGGGCCTGGCCCTCTTTCAGGACCTCACTACTTGGGCCACCAAAAAGTATCCCTGTGTCCAAGGCCCCTCCTCCCTGCCCAACCAGAAGAATCTCCTGCATTAACCTACGTATGCCCCCCGGCCCACCCCACCCTACACCACCTGAAGTGGCCCATAGTCGCAGAATCAAGCTCCAATATGGTTGGGTGCCTGGGACCCTCCCCAGCCTGGCACCGTGGCCCAGCCATCCAGCCTACTCCACAGCTCCTGCTTGCTCTGCTGCCCCAGGGCATGCCGCTCCACCCCCTGGACACCCACCATCCTGGTCTGCTCCCACCCTCTGCGAGACACAGCCCACCTGCGGCCCCTGCACGCAGCACAGAGCCTCTCCTGATCTTTGCAGAAGGGGCCGCGACACCTGCCCCTCCCGCCTTACTCCCAGAGCAGTTGTCACACTGCTGGAATGCCACAGCTCTCAGCCGGGGACAACAGTGTCCCCCAGATGCTGGGCAATGTCTGCGACACTTCTGGTTGTCACACAGGTTGCTACTGGCAGCCGGTGGGCAGAGGCCGGGGCTGCTGCTCAGCATCTGACGCTGCACAGGGCAGTGCCCCCTACAAAGAGGTACCTGGCCCTGAGTGTGCACAGCGCTGAGGTGAGAAACCCTACTATACCTCACATACCACACCCTCGAGAAAACCAAGCTTGGCTGATTCTCTTTCTGTTTTATTTTTTGAGACAAGGTCTCACTCTGTCACCCAGGCTGGAGTGCAGTGCCTCGATCATGGCTTACTGTAGCCTCGACTTACTGGGCTTAAGCAATCCTCCTGCCTTAGCCTCCTGAGTAGCTGGGACTACAGGCACGCACCACCAAGCCTGGCTAATTTTTTGTGAGATGGGGTCTCCCTCTGTTGCCCAGGCTGGTCTCAAACCCCTACACTCAAGTGACTCTTCTGCCTTGGTATCCTAAAGCACTGGAATTATAGGCATGAGCCACTGCGCCCAGCCTGATTCTTTTTCACTGAGGCAAGGAAATGTAACTAACACAGGGGCGTTGGTTTCAATTTGTTCTGTTTCCTAGATTAATAAATATTCCCACAGCCCCATAAGAAAGGCTAATCCTGGCCAGGCACATGTGGCTCACGCTGTAATCCCAGCAGCCTGGTTGGGAT